GTTCGGGCTGGATTCCAAACCCGTGGCTACTCCCTTCTCCACAACGGATTACCTTACGAACTTCAGTACGCCCTTTGCGGATCCTACCACATACCGATCCCTTGTTGGTGCACTCCAATATCTTACCATTACGTGTCCCGATTTATCCTATGTTGTCAACCAAGTGAGTCAATTTCTATATGCTCCCACGCTTTATCACTTTCATGTTGTCAAACGAATACTCTGTTACGTCAAAGTGACAATTTCTTTTGAACTCTCATTTTCCCATTCACCAACACCCTCTATACTTGGTTACTCGAACGCGGATTGGACTCGTTGTCTTGATACTCGACGGTCTACTTATGGATACTCCATATTTCTTTGTGGAAATTTGGAGTGCCAAGAAACAACCTATTATCTCTCCCTCTAGATGTGAATCCGAATATCGTGCCATGGCCAACACTGCTATATAGAAATTATATGGGTCACTCATCTACTTCGTGAGCTTCATGTCTTGCCTCCAGACCAGCCTACTCTCCTTTGTGATAACCAGAGTGCTATCTTTCTCAGTCTGAATCATGTATCTCATAAACAGGCGAACCATATTGATATTGATTCACTTTGTTCGCGATCTTGTCTCATCTGGGAAATTATATACTCGTTTTGTTCCAACCAAGCTTCAACTGGCGGATATCTTCACCAAAAGCCTTTCTTGAGCATTTTCGTACAAAGTTACGAGTTGGACCTCCGCCAATTCGCTTGAGGGGGGGTATTAAGGATAAATCTCATAACAAATCGTAGATATATTATTATTAAGGATATATCTCATAACAAATCATAGATATATTATCTAAGCTATAAATTAGGATAATCATTGATTGAAAATATCTTTTCCTAATTTTGTGTATCTTTGTATTATAAATACTCCATAACATAGCCTCCACAAAGTGTGGTAAATTTTATTAAAACTTACATTCAACCTAATGAACTTTCGTCACTTGTATTGTACAAGCGGGAGTACAACACTATATCACTTGCAAAGCTTAACCGACAAAGGCTAGAAGTCATTATCCATAATCATAAATGTATAAGCATGTTAATAAAAAAAAATTGCATTCTCAAGAAATGAACTATTATAACTTGAGTAATGCAACAATAACCTCCGATAAGGTGAAAGAATATTCAAATCATTCGAAGGCACAAAGAAACAATGATAAGCATGCAAATGCATACATACAAATTATCACAACTACAATGGTCTTAAGGTAACAGAATTCCTTATTATCCCATTGCATTTATCGGTCAAGTTTGTGTTTGTAACGTCCTAAAATTTAGAATATTTCAATATATCAAAATGGTATCCTAATGTCAAATAATTTTCTCTATATATCAATGCTTCGATATGTACATATTCTTCTTCAGGTGTCAATCATCATATCTCTCTTTTATCCCACTTTTTTCCCCAGTCTAATAGTCGCATAGGTTGCAAAAGTTTTAACAGAGTTTGGGTGAGCCTAGGGCCCAGTGAATCCACGGTTTTCATGCACGAACAACTTTTACAATAAACAATTTTTGCAGAGCTTCATAACTTAAGCATGCAATTGAAGAAAATAACACATTTCACAAAGCAACGACATTATGGAAGGTGTATACTTCACAAAACTTTACCTGGCAAACTCACACAACATGTCCACTCTTACGGCTTAGATCCAACAACTATACAAGCTCACACAATATGTTTGCCCTCATAGTTGGATTTTGACTAACAGACTCACATAACATGTTTGTTTTTACAGTCGACGTCATAGTACACCTCATTGCTTAACAAATATAAAAATAGACATGATGATGCATGTTCAAAATATATCACGTTAATGCAGATGCAACCCATTGAACTCATAAAAATCCAATGCAAGCTTGCATATAATTTTAAATATCGCATACAACCATTTAAAAAGTCACATGTACTCGGCATTTAAGTCGTAACCTAACCAATCATCAAGGTGGCCACCGTCCCCCTAAGTTACGTCGAACCTGCTGAAATTGACCTACAGAAATGCATCTTCTTTTCCTGTGTGGACCTTTGCCTTACTCTCTCTTTAGATCTCGAAGGTTTATATATGAAGCTACAACCTTCCTATCCTTTTCATAGTTAATCTTGGTGTCGGTTTCCCAACCTTTCATTTTCCTTCATAATTCTTGTGATTTAGTAATTTAATCACAATAGCTTGTCACCTTTCATTTTCCGAGATTTAAATGAAGTGGTTTAATTGAGGTTATAAGAATCCATCAACTTTCCTTAGTTGGCACCTTGACAAAATAGTTCCTTCTATTTCTCTACTTGACATAATGCCCCTTGATTTAATTGAAGTGGTAATTTTTCAACGGTTATTACAAACTCTCCTCCTTAACAAAATTTCGTCCCCTAAATATGCTGCAAGTAAACAAATGAGGATACACTTTAATCTTATCTCTCTCTTAGATTCACAAATGGTTTATTGCCCTTTATAAAGTTTCCACCGAACTTCTACGTGAGAAATTTTCTTATTTCTTTGATTGCTTATGGTTCTTCAGGGTGCGTTTGGTACCCTGAACAGGGTGGGACAGGACAGGACACAATTGTCCCATGTTTGGTGTGTCCTTAAGTGGAACAAGATAGAACTAACTAAAACACACACGGGACACGGTAGTTCACCCTTACCCCTAGAACTAAATGGAACGAGAAAATATTTGACCAATCTACCCTCAAAATCTAATACGTAACTCAACCTCTTTCTTCTCAAACACAACAGTCTGCCTCATCTTGTCTCCTTCATCAATCTCGTCTCCTTCATCAAGGTCGACTCGTTCTACCCTCTCCTTTATCAAGATCGATCTCCCCTCTACTCTCTCCATCCTCTCAGGTAATCGATCTCTACTCTCTCTATTGTTTTTGAAATCGATTGATGCTAGAAGAAAAATACAGGAGCTTTATGTTATCGATATCCGCACATTTTGCTCGTTCTGTAGTTTAGGCCCGAATACGGTCGGGACTTGATATAACAGGCCTAGGAATGTTCAATTTATAATTTCTCAAGTAAAGATGTGAAACAGAGCAGAGAGTAAGTTTGGATACAGATATCACGTATAGCCACATATACTCGATATCCAACCAATTCATCTATTGCATCACATGCATTAATTAATTAGAATTCCTTCAAGAACTAGAATTGCAAGAAGCTAAAAACGAAAACCCTGTTATTTTGTTATTTCTGGTGATATGAAAAACCAGTGTGCTATAATTTCCAAACAAAGCACCAAGTTCAGCATTCCAAAACATTATTCTTTTTCTCTTCTGGCTGCACAAGTATCAAACTTCAATCTCAATATAGAGCGATTGCATATTTGCAATAGATTATTTAAGGTATCATTAAATTAAAAAGCTTCTACTTTTGCAAGAACCAAAACCACTGGTTATATCTCATCTATTGTATCGATCTCTCCTTTATGAAACAGAAATAACAGCTAGAAAGTCTCTCCTCTACTGTATCGATCTTACCTACAAGTCTACAACATAGATTATAATCAACAATATGAAACAGAAATAACAAACTGATTTCATTCATATCTTAAACAGCTAGAAAGTCTTGTCTTTCCCTATCTTTAGAGGTATCCTTTGATTTCATACAAATGACAAACCCAAGAGCCAATAAATAACTAAATTCATGAGCATCAATTTACAAACATCTATTGATCCTAATCTGAAATATGACCTAAATCACTTGGTTGATAAAAAGGGCAATTTCATTATTTACGGCTAAAAAAGCAACGACATGGAGAAAACCATCATCATGAGTATCATAACTAAAGAAGAATATCAATACATATGCATGCAGTAAATAAACCCACATTCATGGTTAATTAAAAAAAAAAACACAATCATTCAATACCCACTTCCTAAACCAAAAGTGGAATTGAATCACATCAGTTTATAGTGACTACATCCCATTAACTTGAAGTTACTACATACGGTATTACGATCTTTGCCTTTCATTAGAACATTTTATAGTCTACATCCCACTGACTTGAAGCACATTGAGAGTAATGTTACATGAATTTAGAACATATGTAGATAATTGCTTCCATTTGATTTTGTTTTGTTTCTATAGAATGGATCAGAACCATCTAATTGTAGTTATTAAAGTGTTGAATGCTTACATCGACTTGCTCATACTTTTGGCCAATTTTGCGAATTGGTTAATTGAATATGAACAAGACATGATCGGAGGAGAATTTTAAGACAAAGAACATTCACTAGATTTCAAATTAGATCGATAGAAATCCAACACATCACACGTGAAAGTGACATTATTTGTGTAAATGAGTTGCAAATGGATAGGAATGCATTTGCTATTTTGTGTGAGTTGCTAAAAACACGTGGTGGACTATTATATGATGGTAATGTGACAATTGAAGAACAAGTTGCTACATTTGTAAAYATTTTAGCACATCACACCAAAAATAGATGTCTTCAAGTTAGATTTTATAGGTCGGGGGAAACAATTAGTAGGTATATTCATCGAGTTTTAAGTGCTTTGTTGCGATTGCAAGACATTTTGTTTAGCAAACCAACACCGGTAGAGGATGATTGTACCGACAGAAGATGGAAATGGTTTAAGGTAATCCTTGTTAACTTCTCTCATTATTTGTAATATAAAACATTTACTATTTAGCTAAAACCAAGTTATTTTGTTTATAGGGTTGTCTAGGAGCAATAGATGGAACATACATTAAAGTGACTGTACATGAGTCCGATAAACCAATATACCGAACAAGAAAGGGTCATATTGTTTTTTTTTTTGAAGTATATAATATTTATATACGGCAAATGCAACAAATAAACTCACACACCCTCCTCACCTATGGTGAGGTTTGAACCCCTGACCTCCTAGAACGCTAAGGGCTACGATACCGCTAGGCCAAAGGTCCTTTGGTGAAAGGGTCATATTGTTATTAATGTATTAGGTGCATGCACTCGGGACATGAAATTTATCTATGATTTATCCGGTTGGGAAGGTTCGGCTACCGATTCTAGGGTACTACGAGATGCAGTTACAAGGAATAATGGTTTAAAAGTCCCAATGGGTAATTACTATTTGGCTGATGCAGGATATGTCAATGCTAACGGATTTTTGGTACCATATAGAGGTACTAGATATCATTTACGAAAATGCGAACACACTGGTCATACACCTACAAATAAGGAAGAACATTTTAACATGAAACACTCACAAGCTAGGAATATCATACAAAGGTGTTTTGGTATTTTGAATAAACGTTGGGCCATATTACGAACTCCTTCTTTCTATCCAATAAAACTTCAAGGAAGAATGGTCATAGCATGTGCTTTGCTACATAATTTTATTAGGATGAACATGGTTCTTGATCTGGAAGAAAACACAACACTCACACTAGAAGATATGCCTATAGGGGAAGAGCAAGTTGAATCTATTGATGTTGGTGAATCAGGTAATGAGTGGACTCAGTGGAGAGATGACATAGCCCAAGAGATGTTTCAGTCGTGGATGTCAAGTAGATGAATGGACTCAATGTATTGTTTTATTACTATTTTTGAATTTTAAAATGTTATCGTAATGTATTATTTTGTTATAAATGTTGAACTTTAAAATGTATAGTAATGTTTTATTTTGTTGCTAATGTTGAATTTTAAAATGTTATCGTAACGTATTGTTTTATTAATATTGTTGAGTTTTTAAAATGCTTATCGTAACGTATTGTTTTATTACTATTGTCATGGTGTTAATTTTGGAATTTAAAAGATGGCAAATAGACGTAAYTGGAGTATCCAAAAAGAGCATGTACTGATTAGCATTCTACAAGATATTGTAGCCGCCGGTGGTAGGAGTGATAATGAGTGTTTTCTGACCGGCACATATGAGCAAATCGTTTTAAATATGTGTGAAAACATCTCGGGCCTCAATATAACATCAAAACATATCCAAAACAAAATGAAGCGGCTTAAAGATAAATATTCAGCAGCTTATGACATGTTGAATACAAGTGGTTTTGGTTGGAATGATGTGCATCAATGCGTAACGATGGATGCTCAAGTGTTAGAGGAATACTTAAAGGTAACACTTATATTTTTTATGTGATTATTTGATACTTAATTTCATATGGATAGTGATTAACATTATATATATTTATGCATTTTTTTATAGAAACATCCAAGCAAAAATTATATTGTCAACAAACCGTTTCCCCAATATGCGACTGAAAACGATATTTGGAAAAGATCGAGCTACATGATCGATGGCGGAATCTGCCACAGATGCATTGGAGCACATCAATCTAGAAAGTGAAGTCGGTGCTGATACCGAAGAATTGAATGTGCCTTTGACTACTCTTTCTAATGGCGTTTCTGCATCCTCCATTCCACAAGACATAGAAGCCTAAGAGAAAGAGAAAAGTTGGTGTTTGTGAAGATGCAATCAAGATAATTGAAAAGGGGTTGAATTCGTTATCCGAGAAAATGGATAAGTTGGTATCAGTTGTTGGTACTCCGGGTTTACAAACTATGCCCGATGAGTTAAGCAACATAAGTTTTGATGATGATCAGGTTATTGCTATTAGTATGTATTTTGTTGATAACTCGATTCAACTACGCCTATGGAATAGCATTAATGCTACTTTGAAGCCAAAATTTGTGAGGACCATCTTAAAGAAGTTAGACATGTGATGTTAGTCGGTAAATATTTGATCTTTTGTGTTTAAGTCTTTTGGTATACAATTGTAAACATTTGATCTTTTGTGTTTAAGTCTCTTGGTACACAAAAGAAACATTTGAATGTTGGTAAATATTTCAACTTTTGTGTTGGTGAACATGATGTTTAAATCTTTTGATTTATGAATGTGAGTTTTAATTAATATTGATTTTAGAATTTCTTTTGTATTTTTAAATAGTATTTGTTAACATTTATATCGATTATTTAGTGAAAAAACACTAAACAGCTCACTGGGGTAAATTGGTCATTTTAACCAGTTCTGTCTTATCATGTCTTACTAAACGCTGAATAGCTGTCATGTCTACGTACCAAATGCACCCTCAATGTCCACCTTTACATTCTTAACAGTCACATGGGCACTTTCATCAGTCAAACACTTCCTTATATTAGATACATGGAACGTGTTATGGATGCCTTGAAGTTCTTCAATTAGCTCCGACTTATAGGCAACCTCGCCTATAAAAAGAAAAAAGTGAGAGAAGAAGTAGGTTATCATAAGCTAGGGCTAGGCTATGAAAATTACCTTAGTTGTCTTTTTTAATGCTTTTGATTAAAACTATCATTTAATAAGAGGCGTTGCATTAAATGAGATGCATAATTGTGATTAATTCATGTGTTCCTAAATGAATCTCTCGTAAGAAAAGACAAGGGAGGTTCAAGTGAAGATCCGATGAAAAAAAAGAACAGAAGAATCCTCATGTTTTGGATTAAAAAGCAAGGGGCCATATTTAAACTAAAATCTTCAAAATAAATTAAAACAAAGGGAGTTTGCAAAACTGATCTTTTTGAAAAAAAGCTTTTTATGTGACACAGAATTTTATATCACAATCCTTATATAAGCGATTATTTGTGATCATGAATATAGATAATTTATTGATTCAAAGTTCAAAAAATGGCCTAATAGATACATAATCACTTTGAATAAAACCTCAAAAACGATGAGAACCAATCTCAACAATTCATCTATGGCTTGAATTCATGGTGGTATTACTTTTTCACATGAAAAGTAATATGGTATTGCTTCACATGTACAACTTGTGCAGCCTTATTGTTTCATTTGTAATAATACATTATTGTTTCACATGTGAAACTATAAATGTTTCATTGGTTTTGACGGTTCTCAATATTTTTAAGGTTCTCTTCTCGGAAATTAGATGGTTGAGCTAAGCTATGTTATTTTCAGGAGACCAAAAGCTCCCTCGACATATAAGAGACTTGTCACTTATGACACATGCAGAAACAATCACACATATTTCAAAGATAAGTGTGACAGGCTTTCAGCTTGCTTGGTATTACTTGAGGTCAAACATTCAATCCAGACAGATGCTAAGTAAGCAGATGTTGCAAGAAATACCAAACCGAGTTCGTCATGCCACAACTACGTTACTAAAAGATGAGCTTAGATCATCAGCAAATCCATCTAATGCTCCAATGATCGATAACAACTACTAACAGATTTAATAACGATCATGATGTTTTGGGTTACTTGTATCATAGCGGTTTGACGTAGAAAGGTTGGTACCATCCCAAGTTGCCCCATGACCTCTTCGATGGTCATAATTGTTGTGATCCATCTGTGATCTATTTACATTAGATAATTGTACCGCACCAGGTGAAACTGACATACCAATAGACAAGAATTCATCAAGAACTATCACATTTGATTATTAGATCAACTGCAAATCAGAAGCAAATCATAAATCCACAAAGACAAAGTGACCAAAGGGTTGTTGTTGTGTTGGCCGTAAAGTCCAGCGTTCCTAGAGGTCAAGTGTTCAAACCTCACCAAAAGTGAGGAGAGTGTGTGAGTATTTGGCGTATATAAGTATTATATACTTCAAAAGAAGACATGAAATGGCCTTTGGCCCAGCGGTACCCATGTTTCCAGTGGATCCCAACTTCCAAAAGCAAGAAGTGTGCGAGTTTTTCAGTAACTAAATATTATATACTTCAAATATAAAAGAAGACATGGAGTGAGACGCTTCACCTTGTGTATATTGTGACAAAGAGCTCGGAGAAACCTCTACATTTAGCCTTGATTTGAAAGGAGAATTTGATGCAAGCGTTGAAGCTTGTGTGTTTGGTGCAGATTTGTCTTGGCCAGAAATCTGTTCTAAGAGCGAATATCAGTAATTTATTATACAGAGCAAATAAATAGACACTAAACTTGGTTCTATGCAAAGTTGAAAACAATTGTACCAGCAACTAGTTGTTTAAAAGTAACTTCATGTTTTTGAATATGCTTTTTTCACTATAATCTAAAATCAAACCCAGTATATCTCATCTGGAGGTAGGGGCATGGGGATATGATTTACACAGACATTACTTTGTTCGAAGAGACAGAGATGCTGTTTCGGAGGGTCTTGCAAGAAATGTTTAGCGAAAGATATAGAAAGCACAGCTATATGCTACAGATTTGAAAGATATATAAAGCATCTTACCTCTGTCCCAAAAGACACAAGGCTCTTTTTCATTTTAATCTATAAGTAAAAATACAACAAATTTGACCAAACCTATTGTTTTTGTGAAGCCAAATCAACAAATTCCACCTTTGTAGACAAGAATGTATTGAACATATGAAAGCAGGACACAGACTGTATAAAAGTTAAGTAGCTCAAGGGAAAGGATAAATTACTCCAAATCTCAAAGTTCGGTTGTAAAGAGTCACAAGGCCAGAAAACAGCTTCACAGCATAATCAGCAATCTCCTTGGTTTCATATTCTGCAAAAGCAAAACCTTTTGGTCTATCAGTTTCCCTGTCTCGAGGAATGTGCAAGTCAACCACCCGACCAGCCTGTATTAGGATATCGTATAAAACCCGATCACTTACTCGTTCATCCAAGTTACCTGTGCATAAAAACTGACAGATCAGTTACTGTAAGATGCATAACAGGGTAACAGACAAGCACCACAATATTCATTTAACCAAAAATAATTTGCAAATAAAGCAAAAGATCACTCGTACATAAATGCAAATATTTGTTAATATGCAAGATGGTCCTCTCACAGAAGCACAACCGGAGTCTAGTTGCAATTCCAAGAAAGAATGATRAAGGAAGAGTTTCGGAATAAAATGAAGCATTAAGTCATTCATTCACTACCCCCAACTGAACATTTAACCAAATATATTTAAGCAACATAACTGTTAAAAAAATGTCTTTTTTCATTTCCTTTTTTAATAAAGAAGGAATCTCTTAGTTATTCCTACTTATCATGTCTATTATCGTATCTATTTTTGTGAACTTTCTACTGTAAGTTAGTCTTGGCTTCTCTTCTTGCACTAGTAGTTGTCAATATTGGGTTTCGGGTTTCCTGGTTTGTTTTAACCTATTTTCCTCACATTTGTCCATGTTGTTGTGTTTGTTTAATGTACCAGTTGCTTGATTGCACACACTCTCACCTGTAGCTTGCTCTCTCGTTTCTTTTAGTTTTTGTTTTACAAGTCGGGAGTCTTCATGGATACATCTCTACTTCTTGGAGTAGAGGAAAAGAAAAAGCCTGCATACATCCTACCCTCTAGACACTACCTCTGCGTAGGATTTATTGGGTTTGCTAGGTTTTGTTTGGTTTTAAGGCTTTTACCGTTAACAAAGTATATGCCCATTTCTTTATCCAAATTAATGTACCATCACCAGCTCTAGTTAGCAAAATGAACAAGAAGATAATGATAACCAACCTAATAGTAGACATTTATTGATATTTGATAGAACATCTCCACCTACCATCATGTGTTCAGCTTTAATCATATCCCCAGCCCTCTATGCGGATCAACAAAAGAATAGCATGACTGCAACTGTTGGCTATGTACTGTCCAACTTTATACTTTAAGAAACATTCCTAGAAGGTTATTATGCCATTTGATGTAGAATTAAGTTATCTCCTTATCATGTATTCATAAGTCGACCTATTCTAATTAACTCACTGTTGATTGTTAAAAATAAACTATATGATATGTGCAAAACATTTACAATGGTGACTACTATTTACAGTACAAGTTTCACCAAATTCGGGAGCATTCTACTCCTTGCCTATCTTTCTGCATGCCCTTCATCATGGATTATTGATTTGAGTGCCTAAGAATCAAATCAATGGGGATAAGAATATTTATCTTTGAACACTTTTTTTTTTTTGAAGTATATAATATTTATATACGGCAAATGCAACAAATAAACTCACACACCCTCCTCACCTATGGTGAGGTTTGAACCCCTGACCTCCTAGAAGGCCAAGGGCTACGATACCGCTAGGCCAAAGGCCCTTTGGTATCTTTGAACACTTCTTCCTGTTGAAATGTTAGACTAGCTAATGGTTCTTGTCCAATTAGTAGTTTAGGCTTGATTAACATTGTACTTAGTTTACCCTGATCAATTTCTGTTACATCCAAACCTCTCCTTACGCATTATATTCGACGATCAAGTAGCTAAAAATCTTAATAGTTCTGTAATCTTCTTTCCTACTGGCTACGTATCTTTGAAAGGATGAATAGATTGATTGGCTTAGTGATTACCAGTTAGACAAATTGCAACCAATAAAAAAAATTTAGTGATGTGAATATCACAGATGTAGGAATGTCTATTGCCAGAACTGGGAGATCCTTCCTCCTCTACTCTGAAGAAACTGAAGCTAGAGTTTTCCCCTATTTCCAATTTTCTATGGGAGTCATATCAGTTGGAAAAACACTCATAGTTGATGTCACCTAGATCATATTGGTGCCAATGCTGCAGAACTAATTCGGTTCCTCCTATCGATTTGGCTCATCCGAAATAAGTATTTTCCAAATTTGTATGGAAGGAGATCAAACTTGAGTTTGAGACAATGGATACTTTGGATGAATAACATTCATTCTCTTAATTGAATTTCAATTAAACTTGGCCCAATCTTTTACCAAAAAGATTGAGCCGAATCCTACATGCATTTATTTTAGATAGATACATACATATATAGTGTATATATAGAAAATTTAAAATAAAAAACTTCTAAGTTAATGTATCCTGATGCTTGAAGCCCATATAACTTCAGTTGGTGCTACCCTTGTATTAGTATTGGGTTAATTAATCAAAATTTGGAAGTACAATCTCCTATTCTCCTCCACTTTTTGTGATTTTTGTGCATATGCTACCAGAAACCTGTTCAATTTATTTGTTGAAACTCTATATAGTGATGATGTCTAAGAATACATCACAGCATGTTTTCTTTTATTTAGGTCTAAACAAGGGATCTTGCATAAATCCTCCTCACATGCATGTGCATCTCAATACAACTATGTGGCTAAAAAAAGCTTCATATCCTCATGGTGGCTTGAACTTTATTGATTCATTTCAATACTCTCACCAACTTGGGGGATGCTATTCTTGCTGACAATTTTATATAAACAAAATGGCTTCATTCTCTCACTCTATATACCCTTCTGCAAAGTACATGTCCCCTAAATTTTCTAGTTGCATGTTTTGMCCATGACTCTTTGCCGTTGATCCCTGAGGTCAATCCCTTCTCTCATCTGAAAACCCAAACAGTCAACCAAACCAACATTGGTACTTGCTCAAACAGCCATTACATACATTGTTCTGCAGAAGGGTCTCCTTTATGCAACAAACATCCAATAAATGACTCCTGCATTTAACACCATCATTTCCTAGACATCAGAAATGATTCTAGATTATTGATCTCATATGAACCCAACTACATTCTGGGGATACAAGTATGACAATCCCCACTATAAATCTTGTTTGCCAAATAAAACATGTAGACTGACATTTCAACCTGGTCTGGTCTAACTGTGTACAATTACAAAACAACAGACTTGTGTACGGTAAAATAGAATGTTGTTGGCCAAGGATGGAAGGCCATGGGGCTCATCCAGAGAATACAGAAGATCTCTCACTGGCTCATTGCTTGGAAACCAGTTTTTCGGGATGGGAGGTGTCGTGCTCTTGCATATTCAGTGATTTAACCCTTACCTTTGTGGCATGTAGGTGTTGGGATCTTGCATATTCAGTGATGTAACCCTTACCTTTGTGGCATGTGCATAATCTAAAACCCAATTTAGATGACTAAAAGACAGATGGACAAAATTTAACAAAATAGTGCCATTAAGACGCAAATAGCTGTTTTAATGCACGGTGTCTGTTAAGATGAGTTATGTTACTCAGTTGAAAGCAAATCCCACTGCAAAGTCTTTACAAAAAGGTGATAAATCAGTATACATAAGTCAATCAAGATCCACTAGTTACCTATGACTCAAATGTTCTCAACTTCAAAATAAAACCGGTACAAGTTGAAGTTCAGGGATACTGCTATGAACGTAATCATCGTGTTAATCATACATTTTACCGCTAGTCTAACAACAATTACCCCAAGTGCAACTGCTACAGAAATGAATATTCAAAAACTATCATGAACTAGCCCTAATAAAGTAATATGTCACTCATCCATTGATATTTAAATGTTTAAACAAGAATGCAATGAAAGAGTAAGATTAGTGTAGGATAGATTCGAAAACATACCAATGTAAACAGTGCAACTAGGGTTGGAGGACATTGCAGAAGCAGGAAGAAGGGGGAAAAATTGGCGTCGAAGAGAGAGAGAAAAGACACCGAAGAGTCGAAGACGTAGATAAAAGTCAGCGTTGCCAAGACTGAGGAAGGGATTTTCGTTGGATTGTCTTCCACATTAGATTAAATTACAGTTTTGGTCCCTGTGGTATGTTTAAAGTCACTGTTTTGATCCCTAAACTTCGTTTACCATAAAAGGGCGTGTGCTTTGCACTTTGTGTAGGTTTTTAGTCCCTGAACCAAACGGTCATCCATCTTTTCCGTTAGATTCGATGTTATTACGGTTATTCTATCATATTAAGGGTTTTTATTTTTTTCCCGTTTTTAATTTTCATCTTCTCCTTGAAGAACATCAAGAACAAATCCTAAAATCTAAATTAAACTGAAATCAAAACCCATATAAATCAAAGACTAATGTTTTCTATAGTAAATCAAAATTAGAGCTTTTCATTTGTGAAATTGGGTCGAACAGGATCGGGTTTAACCTATTTTTATATCCAATAGGCCTAATATGGTAAAAAATAAGCCAATTTTTATGGCTTGAAAATTTACACATACCCGTCCTATAAACGGGTCGGGCTTGCTCATGGGCTAACGGACTTAAAAATCTTGTTATATTTTATGAAAACAACTCATGGGCTAACGGACTTAAAAATCTTGTTATATTTTATGAAAACAAAACTAAAATCATAAGTTATGTAAAATAATTCAAAATACATAACAATTTTTCCAACTTAAAATTTGACGTAAATACATAACAATATACATATTTTAGAAAGAAATTGTTTCGCTAATATAAAGCATCGATAAAGAAAATGACTAATAAGATAATAAGGAATTGATCAAATTGAGGTAATTATATTTTCAAATTTAAGATTTTTAAAGAATGTTATTATCACGAGTCATAATTAAGTAGAAGTTGACAAGTATTAAGAATTTTTTAGTTTTATTTGTAAATTTTAATTATAAAATTAATTATTATCTTACTACTTTATTAAACAGATTTGCTCAAAGTCTTAAAGTCTTAACTTTTTTAATCCCCAAAATACCCTTAGCCAAGCGTCCTTTATACGCCTTGACCAATATTTGAAATACTCCTTCACACGCCTCTCCTCTCCCAATATATTCCTTTACACGCCTCTCCTCTCCCAATATATTCCTTTGCACGCCTCCCCCCCCAAGATGCCTCTTCCCAAGAGAACTCTTCCCCTTATCGGCTCCCCTCCCCCAAAAGCACCGATTCACTCCCGAAGATGGTTCCCTTTAAGAGTCCTCCATCGTCCTTCTCAAAATCGCCTTCAATCGTCGCTCTCCAATCGTTCCTCAATCGCTTTCAGGTATGAAAAATTCCCTTGTTTGAGTTTTGTTTTTAGGTTTTGCTTTTGGGTTTTCGCTCTCCATCTGTTTGCGTTTTGTTTTTGGGTTTTCGGTTTATCTGTGTTCTCATCAAATACATTCAGGTATGAAACGTGGATTCGCAGACTCACCCCAAATTTATCTGTTTGCGTTTTGTTTTTGGTGACTCAACATCCACGCACAGGGGAATCGTCGTTCCCACCGCTGCCGAATCGTTCAATCGCCTTCACAATCGCCTTCAATCGTCGCTGTCCAATCGTTCCTCAATCGCTTTCAGGTATGAAAAACTCCCTTGTTTGAGTTTTGTTTTTAGGTTTTCGCTCTCCATCTATTTGCGTTTTGTTTTTGGGTTTTCGGTTTATCTGGGTTTTCGGTTTATCTGTGTTCTCATCAAATACACTCAGGTATGAAACGTAGATTCGCATACTCACCCCAAATTTATCTGTTTGCGTTTTGTTTTTGGTGACTGAACAGTTCCTCAATCGCTTTTAGGTATGAAAAACTCCCTTGTTTGAGTTTTGTTTTTAGGTTTTGCTTTTGGGTATTCCCTAATATGCATACCGAGGTAAATATCATCATTTGATGAAAATCTCCTATTATCCCTCAGATATCAATTGTACATACAGTTCAAAATATCTGACACCAAAAAGGAAAATATAGAGATGTAGTCCAGTATGCTGTCAAAAGTATGCTGTCAAGTATGGCTTATCTTTTGGCAATCTCCTATGGGTCCAGTATGCTGTCAAAAGTATGGCCTATGGTGGTTGTATATGAAACATAGGTAATCCAACCATTTTCATCATGTTATAGTGGAAGAATAACAATGAATCTGAACTTGAGTACTACATCCATATCAAAATATAAAAACTAAAAGAAATTATATCCTTGAAGTGATCATCCATATTTGTATTAGTTGTGATGATGTTGAACTTTTTGTATTGAGATGAAATCAGAAAGAAAAAAAGGTTGGTTGCAATTAGATTTGGTAAATTGTTGGTCGAGTTAGTTGCTACTGTTTTTAACAATCTGTTTATCTTAGAATTAAATTGTTTGAAGTTTGTCAGATGAGTGACAATCTGTTTATCTTAGAATTAAATTGTTTGAAGTTTGTCAGATGAGTGGGCATGTGCTGTGGCTTAACAAAAGAGTCTGACCTTTCTGACAGTGAAACTGGGCAGTGGTTGCAGACTTGAAGCAGCAAAGGTTTCCACTTTGTGAACAACAGGGCATGGACTAAACATCAGACCCAATCCCCCTGTCAACTCTAACCATTGCTAATATTTCTCTATTCATCATGTTATAGTGGAAGATATTTTCCAGTATGAGCTGGGTATGTTTGATTGCATCAATTGACAGTTTTGATGTTAAGCAATGATGCTACCAGATGACCGAAACATATAAGGATGGCAATAATAGAGAAGGTTTGATAATCTTGTTAGTTAATATAAAATTCATTTCCCTTGTCCATAAATCTTCTATTTTATTGTTTTTCTGGCATGCTTCTTTGTTATTTGACTCATTTCTCATCTCTAACATGAGGATATAAATGCTCCTTTCATGGAACTTTTTCATTTGTCAATATATCATTTTACACCAGCTAATTAATGTGATTTGATGTGAACTTTTCAGGTAAAAGTGTTCACACAACCACATTACTTGCATAGAGAACTATCAGGTACCAAATATCAGTGTGGTGGGACATAGAGAACTGTCAGGTACCAAAAGGTTGTGAACCTCATTCGATCGCTCAGAATATAAGTTCTGCTTTGGTTGATATGAATTACTGTGGGCCAGTATCGATTTCTGCCTACGGGGACACCAATCGGATCCCGGCCTCCGTCCAGCAAGGTCTCAACAGTACCGGCATYGCCTTGAATCATGTGTGATTTATATTTTTATGAGGATTAAGCTAATGCCTTTCAAATATTATTGTTGGAGTTGGTTTTGTAATTCMTCTTAAACTCAGGTGTGTCTCTGCTCATGGATTGTATTGTGTTGAACTCATTATGATGTTGAATACTCAAATATTTTATTATGTTTAAAGTTTGTGGATTAGTAGATAAAAGAGGAATTGTAGAGGGAAATCCTTAAAATGGCACCCTTAACGTTGTCCTATAAACCATTGGTAGACCTAGGATTTTGATCGACTGTGTGCACCAGGTGGATCAAATGCTCGCAAGTTGTAAAGTCACTTCTTGTGTTTTAATCCGAATTTCACTATTTCGATGTAATTTTTTTAGGATTTTTGATTGATTCCAAATAATTTTTTTATGTTTTTGGTTGATTTTGAAGAATTTTTAGATAGGTCTGTGCCTGCTGTAGACCAAATTTTGAAGCTTTATTATTATAGTACGAATGACACCAAACCATTGGTTTTGCCATATCTCATGTCTTATAACGCTATTTGACATTTCTTTCATTGCATTACCATCAACGCTAGATCATTGCTTCACCATCAATGCTAGATTATTGCTTCACAATCTACCACTATATCTACATGCATTGGTTCCTTTGCCGTATTGTCACAACATCACCTTCACAAACTCATGTGTGACATTACTTTGAAATTTACACCCCGCTGCATTGCGCGGGTATACAACTAGTAAAAATATTAATGGGTTTGGCAGGCCTATCCATATATTTTTTTCCACTGCACATGTCCGCCCATTAATTTTAACAAATCAATCTAGGTCTGCCTATTTCTTCAAGAATGGTAATCTAAGAGCAGGCCGAACAGGACGAGTTTAGCGGATCGTCCTGCCCATTAACAGCTCTAATCATAATTATATGATTACAACCTGTCATTTTCTTTCCCTCAATCACAACCCATGTGTGGGAACCTAGATACTTTTTGTCTTTGTCAAGGGAGTTTTGACAACAGAGAACAACAACATCAAATAAAGATGGGTTCGCCCTCCACCTCCTCCACCAGCTTTGACATAGATCCCTCCTATGATCAAAGCTACAAAACTCGTGTTTATGCAAAGCAACACAAAAACATAAAGCTCAAGTTCCTGCAAAACAACCACCGATCTACCTTTGAGGCTGATCTCTTTTTCCTCCCTTCATTTTTAAGCTGTCATTTTTGACCAAAAATCATCATCTCGATTTTTTTCAGTGTATCTTTTTTAAATCCGAAATCCATATTTTGGCAAGTAAGATTGTCCAATACGAAGACTATCACGATTGGGGGAAGTTGATGTCTTCAATGAAAAAGAAATTGTTAAAATATTTTATGAGCATCCCATTTGCTTTTCTTTTGTGTTGCGGTGTTAAACCTGTATATAAATATTGTCAGTATTGAAGCTTTAATTACACAAATATGTGTGGCTTTTGGTTTGGATATCGCTACGGATAATTCTTTTTCAATGGAACAAAAGCGTTTGTTTATTCGTAATTTTCAAGATTTATTTGATCATTACAAACACTTTTACAGAAGAGGAAACCAACAACAAAGCTCTTCAAGTCGTGGGTTTGCGGGTTCTAGTTATTCTTTTATTGGTCATCGACAAAGTCGTAAAGAGTTGATGACTAATTTAATAAACGAGGTTTTAAATGAATCAATTAAAAAAAATCGATATGATAGCGATTTGGGTGAACTAAATATGTATGTGCATATTAACTTTATGGTCGCATGCCCCGCAGATGATGTCGAAAATTTTGAAAAATTTGATTTATTAGATTTTTGGAAACAAAAACAGTCTCAATTCCCGATTTTGGAGTGCATCACACGTGATATACTAACAATCCAAGTTAGTACCGTAGCTTCGGAGTCTGTTTTTTCTCTTAGTGGCAGAATCATTTCCATACGTCGGACAAGACTAAGTCCGAAGTCCGTGGAGTGTTGAATCTGCTTGAAGGATTATTTGAATAGCGCTGATAGGATTCAACACACGACA